AATTATTTCAAGAGCAGCATTATTTGAAGGGTAGTAGAATAATTTTACCAAAACGGTTTCAGAAATTTGGCGTGAAATTTTCCAATTATGACGAGAAATTATTAATTTATTTCCAATTATTATGTCGAAAAATGTTATATACTGATGTAATGGTGTAAATTATATAATCTAAAGATTTTTTGTTTTGTTTTGGGACTTCACAGGACATTCTTATCGGGCAAATTTAACTTCAATTTTTTTATCGGCTTGTCGACCGGTAAAAATTATTACTTTTACGAGTGGCATGACTAAATATTATGTCATTTTTTACGTTAAAATAACGATTTAATTTTTTTAAATAGTTATTGCAGCACATGGAAGGTGTTAAATATTTTTAAAAAACAGAAAAGTCTTCGTATTTTTAAAATCGTGGGATTAAATTTGGTACACCTATAAACGTAGGGTCTTGCCACAATTTTATTCCGTGCATACAATTTTGATAATTTGATTCTTTTATTTTTCTTTTACCGGAGAGTATGAATCGAGTTGGCCATCCTGCCTGATGAACTGTTGAATCCTTGGTAGGGTGGCACTTTCGTGGATGGGCACTGGTTTCTCCAACATGTCTCGGACCCGTCTTGGTACGAGTGATGCCGAGTGACTGGCACTGAAACCGGCAGTCACAGTCGGCTCGGCACCGGGCCCTCCTCCGCTTCATTCGGAGGGGGCCTACGCTTTCTTAAAACACGTCTTGCCATCCTCGCGGGGGGAAAACAGAGTTTTGTGACCGACCTAAAGGCTTTCGGCGTTTTTCATCTTAGAATCTGGGAGAGAGCGGCTTCTCGCAAGAATAGACCTCGTTTGAACAGCTTCCGAACAATGGGGTACCTCGCAGACGAACTTTTTGCCTCGGGAAAACAAGGTTGGAACGTTGTTACAGCGCTTATTTCTTCTGGGGCGGGTGGTCAATCGTGACCAGTTGCATTGTGCACTCGGAAACAATAAGTAGATAGCTCTTCTTGAGCTCTAAAGAAACGTATGGAATCCCCATACGAGACTCAAACGTAAAAATTTAAATACAAGATTCAGACTGCTGAAAAGCGATCCAAACTTACAATGCCAAACAGAAAAAGACTATATACTGTCCTGCCAGCCCCACTATGGACATAAGGACTTGAACTGTACAGAACCGTTAAGCATTTCAATCTCAACAGCCTACAAACCCTACAATATAAACTTCTGCGAACTATCGTCTATGCCTTTTTTCAATTTATTTGTTACCTATACAGGATCGTATACTACACAAATATGTGTACATAGTAATAAATGCCAGCACTACACCGGTAGTGTACGATTAGATGTCAAGGTCCCGATGCCACCAGTCGGTTGAGGCGCCTGAAGGGTGTCAGGATGGGAATGAGTGGAGAGGGCTCGAGCAGTACGGTTAGGATAGTTCGAAAGGGTGGTGGTGGAATCTGAATCTTCGGGTCTACCCACAGGGACACCTTCCTTGTGGGCCCAGGGAAAGTCCGACCATCAACCCTGGTGCCTGGAGGCAAAATTCCTTCCCTATCCTTCCTTAATCTTTTCCTTTTCCCTTTCCCTCCCCCCACAGCTTTGGCAGAGGCTCTCTGGTTTACTGAACCCGCATCCCTCAGGCAACGGGTGCATCAGTAGGGGGTTCGTATGAACTCCCGGGTGGGCGATCAGTCCCACCTTAAAAATAATAACCACGGGAATAGAGTATCCAAGCGGCTCTACTAATTGAGGTTGAACTCGTGTTGGTCGTGGTTTATAAACAAATTGTACCTTAGCTGGAGGGTACCGGCCAACCGGACCCGGAGATAGTGCCTTATCTATCTCTCCAGGGTGGTGAAAGGCACGGCTGAAAGGCTTCTGAACTTGGTTAGCAATGTACACCACCTCGCTAGCCAAGGGATGTGACAAACCCATTAATGTAAAATCTTCCTGGTGTTCTCTTTGAGAACACTGAGCGTCTGAGAAGTCCCCTCGAGGATAAGTCCGGACGTTAAAGATCCTCATGGGTCTCAACACCTTGTGGAGACACAATATAATAACAATTTCAACATTTTTGCTTGTTGCATATTTAAAGTGCAAGGGAACGGACAACAAATAAACGCCCTTTCTCCAGGGTTACTGGAGGGAGGAAAAAAAATTTAAGTGCAGTTGAAAAAAAAAAAAAAAACTGTTGGCAAAATTATTATTAAAATTTTGGCAGCCAATTCCTTAGGGGCATCGGTGGCCGCAACGGTTTACGCGTTGACACGGCGCTCGTCACTGTAAGGTAAAGATCCGGGGTTCGAATCCAGCGGCCCTGCATTCGAATCCGACATACTTACAAATGAGCTTTTTTTTAAAAACACCAGGGTTCATATTACCTCTGCTGTTGCGAACCCTCGTTAAAACAAATTGATTTTACGTTGTTTTGTCGATATCACCGACTGTCGGTGCAACACTGAAAGTATAATTTATTTATTTACTGAGTGATTTAAAAAACATGTTGATTTTAAAAAATAAAATACAGATGTAACTATATGAAGAAATACTACAAGTAATTAAGGTTTTTAGTTGAGATAAAAAAAGTCAATGGCACGTGCGGGATTCGAACCCACGATCTTCGGCTTGATACGCCGCTGCTCTACCACTTGAGCTATCGTGACCTCGGTCCACTCGGACACCAACTTCCCATCTCAACCGCACCTTTTGAATTTTCCCTCCTTTTTGCCATTTTTCAATGAATTGAATATATGAAATACTTGGTTCACTTCATCTGTATTGTATTTTTTCCAATCAACATATGTTTTTTAATTTACCCAGGCCCTGGGGATGACCCGAATAAAAGTCGGAACGTCGGCAAAAAAATGAAAAAGGTGTTTTTCTAAGATACTTCATTCCTGACCGCTCCCACCACTTCAACAAATTATTGTTCTTATTCTTAAACCTTTTTCAATGGCGCCAGTCAGGCATTTGAGGGAGTATGGCAGTGTCAGGGTCATAACACTGTCAGATTAACGACAGCCAGCGCTGAGTCACGAGGATACTGAGTGTACATTACTCTTCCACAGAAAAGGATCTTCAGCGGTTCAGAGAAACAGGGCTTCACACTAGAAGGACAGGACATGGTCGACCTAGGTCTACAGATGAGATAGATGAAAGATGGATTCATAAGGTTTTACTAAACCGAAGCATTATGGGAAATGAGGTAAGAAACCAAAAAGAAATTAGACAAATCCGAAATGTTTCGATTTCCTCCAGAAATGGAAGCTCAACGAAAATAACCTCAGGGCCCGGCTCCCGCTCATGGATGGCTCTTCTTAACACAGCTCAGAAAATGGCCAGCCTTCAATTCGCCCGGGAGCATGTGAATTGGGCATTGGAAGTTTGGAGCGAGGCCTCTTTTCGTGGAGACGCTCAGGAGAATGGTACGTCCCATGCTGTGGGGTGCTCAGATGACATTTCCTTGGACGCCCGCACAGAATTGGTTGTTGTGCGATTAAGAAAGGAGAGGTACTTTGAATATATAATCGAAGAACATGTAGTGCCATTGCCCCCCTCTTCATCGGTGAGATATTCTTCCTGATGCAGGGTCATGCCGACCCGATAGAGTACGGATTACGGATGGCTACTTGAATGAGTTTGGAATTGAGTGCTTGGTGTGGCCAGGTCGAAGTCCAGATTTCAACCTGATCAAGCACATTTGGGACCAATTTAAGCGACGAGTACGACGGCGAATCCCAGGCTAACAATCTTGAAGTTGGAAATGTCTGTTCTTGATGAATGGGAAAAATTTCATCAGGATTTTACCAGAAATATTTTCTGGTAAAAAAAATCTTGCGAATCAGTAATTTTAGTAGAAGAGATAATTTTAAAATTTTACGATATATATCGAGTGGGAGGTTTATAGGCCGACAAACAGCTGAGGTAATCACCCTCTTCTTGTTTGTACTTCTTTTCCTGGTCTTTCATGCATATTTTTTCACACTTGCAGCCATTTGACTGTCTGTTACTAATCCTCTGCTTTTATATGAAACCTAAGTCGATATCCTAAAATGCTAACCTCGTACTTGTACCTCAAGTTATCAACTACAGAATAGACACATAACATAAAATACATAATACACATTACCACAAACATAGAAGTCTGGACATATTCACTCGCCCTAAAATACTCGACATTCCTCGGGGGGAGTCAAACCTACTCCATTCTCGCTAATAAGTTACTTTACTCGACAGACGTCACACACCCCAAGGTACTCGATATTCCTCGGGTCGAGGTTAAGCAAGCCCCCCTGCAGTACTACAATAAGAATAGCAAATAAACCTATGCAAACTGTAACAAATAGGTTGTTGGCATAAATGATAAACGAATCTCCGATTTGTGACTATTATTTGGTTGTAAAATCAATGGAGCGTATGATAATACCCAACATATAATACAGAAAGGAAGAAGCTGCAGGACACAACTACGCTGCTGTGTGATGCTGTACCGAAGAATTCTGAAAATTTACTACGAAATGTAACTCACCGAAAAATTGACGTGCATTAACATAAATCGTACGTAAAACTATAAAGACCGGTGTCAAACAGGCAATGCACACTTTTCTAACATGTCCCGCCACTCACGAGGAAGAAGGAAACCGTTCGAAGCTTGAAGTGCCGCTGCCTACATAAATGTTCATTCTGCTACAAAAAAAATTCTAATTTAGACCTATTGGATTATAATTGCAGGGATGGCTTGCAAAAGTGAAATTCCGGTGTAAAGAATTAATAAAATAAAAATTATGTTCCTTTTCGATTGACGTGGTGGATAACGACTAAAGCAAAAAATATACATAAATATAAAAATACATATTTATTTCATAGATATGATTTTATGAATTATTATTTAAAAAACCTGTATAATAATTAATAAATAATAAAAATAATAATTTTGTTGGATACCAGCTTCAATTAACTTTTTTGTAGTTTCTTCCCTCCCAGTTTGAAACCTGGCTAGTCACTATAACCTTCCATCACTGTTTGTTTATCAATGTTATCCATTTTTCAAAATCCGTAGAGTTTGTAAAATGAAAATGGGCTTTGTTTTATTAAATATTATGCTTATTTGGGGTGCAGGTGTTTGTTAAAATACTCTAGTTTTAATCAAAAACTAAACAAATCGTGAATCAAGCATATATCGAGTCTAAATATGCAGACGAATCCGTCCGTTCACCAGACGCTCGAAGAGATGGACTTCGAGAGAGGACTGTGGTACGGCGGTGAGTCCGGTTTTACCTTAAACTTGGCTCAAGTGATGAAGTCCGATGATTCCAGCCGTTATGGGCGATGCCGGAAGCGTATCTTCGATGCTAAAAAAGGGCCACAGGGTGGATGAGACTGATGCCAGCGGGTACACAGCCCTCCACTACGCTGCCAAAAATGGATTCATCGACATTGTCAAAATTCTGTTGGACGCTGGTGCATCAGTCGGTGCCAGGACCAAAGCGGGTCAGGCGACTCCACTCCATCGGGCAGCTGGAGCAGGTACGGGTGCCCTTTCGAATAATGCCCAATTGTCACTATAAAATTGGTATCAATTTTTACAGGGAAACTTGAAGTGTGCAAATTGCTGATCGATAAGAGATCGGATGTAGGCAGCCTTGATGTCGACGGAAGGACACCTCTCCACAGGGCCGTTGAGAACGAAAGGGACGACATCGTAGATCTTTTGATAGAAATCGCCCCACACACTCTGCAGATCAAAGATGTTAAAGGCCTCACTCCATATGACATAGCTAAATCTGAGAATATGAAAAATAAAATTGAAAATGAATGGAAAAAGAGATGATTTTTGTTTATGTTGTTAAATAAAATTTTATTGGCTAAATTTGTTTATGTTCTGTCACTAATGCTATAGTTTGGGCCACGATCTCACTTGCCTGACTTCACCCCCTCTATCTTTTCACACTCTCATTAACACACAATCTGTCCATCTCATCCTTGATGTTCCCTTGAATCTTGCTCTACATGGTCTGCCTAACTTCTTGATTTGAAATTGCCATTAAATGTTCAAGCTCTCCATTTCTATGCCCTTTTTTGTATTCGCTGAAAAACTGTCTGAAACCCCCTGGACTTTGAAGATCCATCTCTGATTAAGATTCCATTAAGGATAGGCCATACAAGGTTGACACACAGACATTATTGGGAGCATGTATAGAAAGGTTGTTTGATGCGTTCCAACTAATTAAATGTTACAATTCTTTGGCTACGTATATACAGCGCTTCTGAATGCCACCTGGTATGAGAAATGTGCTTGAGCAGAATCTAACTATCTAGGTCCCCTGTTTTGATTGTATATAGTATTAATATTTTTGTGTTCCTAGCATGCGTTGAGAGTGAACGTATTTATTAGCAAGAATATAGTGCGAACAGGCCAAAGGCATATTCAATACCCTATCAATCCTCAATTAGGTTAGTTATATAATAGGTGTAAAGAGTAGTGAAAGAATATTGACAGCGATGGCCGAGTGGACAGCGTGATACCACTTACTGAATGCATGGCATATAAATAGGAAAGAATGTATTTAAGTGTGAATGGGTTTGAATTTATGAACTGCATGTGTTAGCTGCTGAATTGCCCTAGGTGTAAGTAAACAGCACCCAGAGCCCAACCTCTGACCACGGACTGCCGACACCTGAGGTAGGCGATTCTTGAGCCTGCAGGTAGTTTATTGTACATTACAAAAGCAGGAATTGCCGGTGCACAGAGGGAAAAAGAGCTGATTTTAGTTTATATAAATCAGTTACAGCACTCATCAGTACTTTTCAATTTGATGTATTAATTAAACTGTAGGGGGTGTCGGTGGCCGCAAGGTTTAGTCTTTGACACGGCGCTCATCACTGTAAGGTAAAGGTTCCGGGTTCGAATCCAGCGGCCCTGCATTCGAACCCGACATACTTACAAATGGGCTTTAAAAAAAAAAAAATTAAACTGTACCCGTACGTACAACCTGTATTTTGAAAAATACCACTGATGGTGATGATTTAATAATTGTAAATGGATAATAAAGTTAGACCATCCTTTCGTCACATTTTAAAGGTTGTCAAAGGAATCAATTCACTTTAAACACAATATTTTGCTGTATTTTTACATTACAAACAGAAATATAGTTCAAAAATTGTATTGACAAAAATATACTTTTTTAATACGATAAAAATGTACAAATATAATTTTGAAAGAAAGTTTGTTTTGTTTTAACTCTATTCATTTACAAAAATATTTTTTCAATACATTATAGTAAGGCAAAATATATTACACTTACTTAATAGTTTTGAACATCACAAATCATTAAACTTTGTTTTTTAATGTTTTTGTTACAATCATTTAAATTATGAAAAATGTAGAAACAAAATAATGTTCATCTGTGAACTGATTAAAAAGAAACAATATAGCGAAATAAAATTATCAATTAATGTTTATGTGAAAACAGCGATTTTAATCAGTCAAAGTAATTTTCTCTGAATATAATAATCGATGTTTTTTTATAATACATATGAACAGTTTGAATAATTTACTTCTAATATATTTTAAAAGTTATTTTTAATTTCAAAACTATACCCATTGAAGACTCAAAGCTTATCATTGTTACTTTGAACCATAGTAAATACTTACGTTTCCAATCTTTTAACATACTTCACATTTACAATTAAAAATATACAATACATAATAATGGCTAAGTGAATACTCAAATATTTCGGTTAAAAGTTCGCACTTATCAACTAGAGAAAAAGAACACTTACAACACTTAGTTTCTACTTGTATGTTTTGATGACTCCAGATCACACTTAGAACAAAGAAAAACACATTAATAAGGGTGAAACACTATTTCTTTTTATTTTTGCCGGAGGGTGAGGGAGCTGTGGCCGGCTGGATGTTGGAAGAGATAATTCTCTTTATGAGCGCTTTGAGACTCTCGTCTTTGGCTAGGTCGATTGGCGTGCAACCTCGGTTGTCTCGCACCTGCATGGCCTCCATGCAGTGCTCAATGAGGAGCGTTGTAGCTGCCTCATGGCCGCCCTCGACAGCACGGTGTAGTGCTGTTCGACCGTCAATATCGCGCAACAATGTCTGGGCTCCGTTGTTCAACAACAACTTCACTACCTCAGTCTTCCCTGTTTAAAAAAAAAAATATATATATAATTCTATTTTTCAATTGAAATGCATAAAATGAATATTAAGGTGTATGTGTGTGTGCTTTGCCTCATTTTAAAAAATCCCTCCGGTTGTTATTACAGTCTCGTTTTCTATAGTTTCCACTATGACAGCTGGGTGGTCGGTAGCAAGGACCTGGAAAAAGGAATTACGGAGGGAAAAATAATGGAAAAATGAAAGGAAAGGGTAATGTCCAATTCAAATATAACTTTTTCGTTAAATGTGAGCGATACATGTAATTTTCAATCAGGTAAAGTATGCGCAGAGCACACACAATGTATTGGCACTAGCACTTTAGTGCAATTTCAAATTAGCAAATAAAATGAAAAAGTATTTTATATCAAAATATCATTAAACAAACTGCACAAAATTTTGTAAATTCAAAATACAAAATATTTTGTTAATACTTTCATTTTTAGAATATTTTTAAAAAAATTTAAGGTGTTTCAATAAGTTTTGATTTTTAACTATGCTCTCCCTTTGTATGATTTGGTTGAAAAACTCAGCCCAGAAAAGAGACCATTTTGTTTCTTAACCAAAAGATCATAATCTTTTCTTTTTTTTTTTTTTTTTTTTTTTTTTTTTTTTTTTTTTTTTTTTTTTTTTTAAGTATGTGTAGAAGCCTCACCAGCTCCTGCAGCTCTGTGGAGAGCAGTGGCGTTTCCAGCTTGTGTCTGTATATTTATCTGAGCACCACCGTTTATCAGTGCCTGGCAAATAGCAACGTTTCCATTTTTGGCGGCGTAATGAAGTGCAGTATAGCCGCTTGGGTCAGCCTGATTCACATTTACGCCTCTACGGATTTGGTCATTGACTGCAGAGGCCTCGCCTAACATTGCTGTAATCGCAATCTTTAAATACCCTGTGAGCTTTTGCGCTAAGACACTAAATGTTTTGTTTTTTACCATTGTGCCAAATTGGTTTTGGCCCTTTTGATCCGGCTGCAGACATGCTTTGCATGCTTTGCATATTCGGCATGGTTTGCGCGTTTGGATGCATCATGCAAAGCATCTGTTGGGATGACGGTGAGAAGCAGGAGCAAAGGCAAGGACCTGTACCGCTGCTCCTTTAAATTGAAAAGTAATTCATCTAACTACTCTATTGAAATGACATATAACATTCATATGCCTTATTAACTGTACATTTACTACTTTTATTACTTCAAAAAATTATAGTAGATCTATGATAATTAATTTTTATCATCAGGACTAGTTTGGAATTTATAGCAAGCAGCCCAAAATGTCTTAAGTTGTATTGAGACAAATTGAACTAAGAAGTTCTACTGACCAAAAAATATTAATACACCGATACACGAACAAAAAACAATTTTGTAAATAACAGCTTTCTCAAAAAAGCCTCACTACAATTACACAATTACTACATAATAATACATGATGTCTTTGTAACGGAGAAACCTTATTAAAGGGTTATCTGGTGAGCATTCGTTTGTCTTCAATATTACCCGTACACCCTCAGTCGCTGAGTTATCAAAAGACTGCGGGTTTCTTAACATGATGCGATCTTGGTCTGGTAAATATTCTTTAAAGTCTTCTGGACTTGCACCTGATATAAAAAATCTTATGAGAGGTTCAAAGCAATTACAATGACCTAAATAGACCGAATTATTATTTATACATTCTTTACATTTCTTTATGCTGAAATGAGGCAAGAAAGTATGTCCTAATTTTGAAATAGATGGAATACTTTGTTTGTGTATATACAGCACGTACAAACCTGTGCATTTTGCAAACACCATCATATAATTTGTCAATATATTTTAGAACCAAAATTTGGTGCAAAATATGCACTTATAGTTCATCAGTTATGAGGAAAGTTTCCTAAATACAAAATTTATAGACCCATCTTTTTTTTTAAATAAAAATGTAATTTACCCATTTTGTACTGTTTCTTTTTTGTCTGTGAATCATCAGACAAATCTTCACTGCCTCTCCTCAATGCATCGTCAGTATCGCTCATCACCAGTTGTTGTTGGGATGTACTTGAACCGGGTTCTTCGGTCTCAAGTTTTCGTTTTTTCTGAACGGAACTCATGTCTTCAGGTATTGATGGAAGACCGGCGAGTGAAGAGAATTGTCTAGCGGGTTCAGTGTATTGTTGCGGCAAGTTATTTACCTGACCAGCTTGTTCTAAGATTTGTCTTGCGATTTGGGTTTCTTTGCCCGGGTAGTAATCTGGGTCTACCTAACAAATGTTTTGTTAATAATGTCTTATAGGCATAAAAGTCAATATAAATTATTTATTCTATCAAGTTGATAACATTTATTATTTAAACATTAATGGAACAAAAGAGAAACTGAACGTTAATGCGTACACACAAATAAAAGTACATTCACAAACTTGGGGCCGGTTTTTATTAGTAAAAGTCGTTAAATATTTGTTAATAATCATTTCTTTCTATGCCAAAATCAAAAAATTACACACACAAAATATAGCAGAAAGAAAAAGTGCACATTAATTAAATTGAATTGGAAAAATATAACTTCAAAAATTAAGTTAAACCCACTCATACTTTATCTCTTTACTAGGTGATGACTAAGAATGTTCAAGAGCAGATTAGTTAACATGGGTTAAGCAATTCACAGATAAATGACCACTACTAATTTCATAAATTATATTAAAAAGTGATTTTCAAATTCTATAATTTAATTTGAAAAGAAAAATGAAAATGTAAAGCGAAGTTTACTTTTGTACACTCTAGGAAAATTTTCTCCTAGTAATCCCAACATGCATCAAAATCACTGTTAGTCAATACACGCAAGCAATTAATCATATCAAACAATTCATTCTGGTGATAAAAAATTTTCAGTAAACTTGATATATTTTTGATTAATAAGGTCAAAGTGATGGTTACCATAATATTTAATATCTGCTGTTTTGCCTGTTGAAGGAGGCAAAATTTCTCCTAGATGGGAAAGGCCTGTGAAGCGTGTATATGACGGTTCCGTGATTGCCCTCACAGGAGGTGATGAGCTGGAAGCCGAGTGTTTGATGGAGGATATTGGCGGTGGCCAGGGCTGGGTTTTTGACTTGGTAGCCGTCCTGGCCGACTCTGTTGCCCCAGAAGGCGAGCACATGCTCAACGGCCTGGTGGTCGGCAAGAGTCAACCCAAAAATGGTGCATTCAGTTCCACTCGGCTGTCCTCTCACGCATACATACGGCATGGTTGATTAACTTTCCCCTGTTGATGGCTTTGGAAAAGATAGAAGGCAATGTGTTTCATTTTAAACAGGCATTTAACTTTCACACAATTCTCATAACAGTAAAAAAATTATGAACAATACATAATAACCAATTAATCAAACCAATTACATATTACAACAATTAATTTAAGTTTAATTATATGATTCTACAAATAAGGTACACCGCACCAAATGATAGCTTGCAATATATCTACCCTTTTAATAATATTAATCAGTGTTTTTTACTTGATTTTGAATCAACATGTAAACAAAATGTTTCATCCCCATTCAAAATAAATAAAAAATGGAAAATGTAACAAAAACATGCCTAATCCAATCATATCAAAAAGTAGAATATCTTAGAACCAATAATAATTTTACATTTACATTAATATTTATAAACCATACTTGCATGCAAATAAACTAAAAATTATTGGTTCACCTGGGGAGGGGGATTACACACAGCAACAAGTAAACCGAAAAAAAAAAATGCACACTTATTTTAAAGAAGTGAAGTTATAACTATGAACTGTAAATAAAAAGGACAAGCAACATTCTTTTTAGAGGACAACCAACTAATCCAAAAAGAATTTTGACTCACAATATTAATCCTAGACAAACATCTCAGCTTTTCTATTAGCTTAAACTTTTGTTTTCTGAAAAATCCAAACGTTCTCCAATCACAAGGCTTGTCACATTAAAATTTTAACACATATTGATTAAAAAAATTAAGTTTAAAAATGATAAAAATCATAATTTTAGTTTTATGCTATTTCATTAAAAAAATCTATAAATTATTATTTTAACATGTAATAGTATTTATTAGTTGGAAATCGAATGAATACTTCTTATCACTATAAAAAATAATTTTAAAAACAAGTCTATAATGTAATTAACTAAAACCCTTGTTTCCTCTAATTAATAAAAATTATAAAAATATCTAAATAAATAATATTTAGTTGTTATAACATTATTTTAAATTACCCTTCCAGATTCAATTAAAGTATTGTAAAAATTAAATTGATTACACACCAGTCCTTCACGTTTCAAAGTCCAAACAATATCAGAGTCGCCGGAGCTGCATACAACACGGTATCCAAGTTCACCAAGTGAGTTTATGACCTGAAGTGGATTTGCTGTACAGGAACAAAAATTTATGAATTTAAACTATAAGTAAGAAGTAATAAATTATGCTTAAACTTAAACACAAATAATAAAATCAGTGCCCTCAGTCCTCAAATATTATATTTTGTCAAAATTGTATTGTAATAATATTGTAAATTGTAAAAACCAAATATGATTAACAAAAAAATGTGTTTTTCTTCATTGTAAACTCAATTAATTATTAGATGTTTAAAACTAACCATTAATGAGAACTCCGTTTACAACGTTTTTTGCTGAACCTGGATAACGGGAAATAAGAGCCTGGATTTCTTCATTTTTCAGCCCGAAAACAGATGCATCACTTGCATGTAGAGAAGCTTTTACGACTGCATAAAAAAGGTCAGTCATATTTTCCAAATACGAATCCTGTAAGTTAAAAAAAAATCAATTAACGTTCTTTGAGACCCTGTTCAAAGGGATTAACGACCTTTAATATTTCAAAATACTAGTCACAGGGATCAAAAACTCCTTTTTATTGTCCCAACATTGTTGTAATCCTGCTCAACAGTTGTAGAGGTTGACGTGACAACCTCTTTACACGAGGACTTTTAAAGCAAAGATAATTAATTGTAGAATGTTCAATTTACATTTTGGTCCATTAGTAAATAAAATTCCATGTTAAAATCTGTTCATTTGATTTAGATCTTCATCTATCTACAAGTAGAATTTTTTATCAATTGCTAAGTATATAAGATAAAGATAGTAACTTATATTGTTACGTTATAAGATTAAAGCTGTTATTTTATGAGCTCTTACTGCCAATAAATAATATCAGCAGAAAAAAGGCGAAATTTATTTTTAAAATGTGTTAATAAACTGGTTTAATAAACAATGGAACACAAATAATAATAGTAATGATTGACTTAAGTGCGAGTGTACAGTTGTAAAGGTTGATAATGCAATAAATTAAAAATTATAGATTAAAATTTCTTTTTGTAGGCCATATCATTTGAAACTTTTGATTTTGCAATGTTTCAGCCATTTTCAAATCACATCTTTCATTTCGTAACATTGCAAAAACATATAAAAACATTTTATATCAACAAAAACCTAAATGCAAAACAGCAAATTGCCGATGTGGGGCTGCCTGTTTCCTTCTGGAGGTTTTACTTATTTATTTTTTAAAGAACACATTCAAATGATAAGGCCTACAAAAAAGAAATTTGCATCTATAAAAAGAAAAAAAGAAGGGCAACTATCACAAAAAAAAAAAAATTATATATATATTAGAAATGTAATTATTAACTAAAAAAATGTTTATGCAATGAGTGATGAATTATAATTTGAAATGATTTTTTTTTGCTTTGTTTTAGAACATTCAGCAAGAGCACAGACCTATGAAATATCAAATTCCATTTTTTAACACGACTAGAAATTAAGAATCATAAAGCAGTAAATAAATAACAAGTAACGAGAGCAATAAATATTGATCAACCCCATAAGTACTAAAAATCAAAAATTCGGTACGAAAACAGCAACAAAGGACAAATAAAGACAAACAACAATGAACAAATAAAAGTGCAGACCTACCAAATAACAAATTACATTTTGACAAAACTAACAATTTGAAGACACAAACTAATAAATAAATAATAAATAACAGAAGCAATAATTAATTATCAACTAACTACAATAAATACTACAGAAAAATAAAGATCAAATAATCCAATAGCCAATGGGAAGCCAATAGCCGTCCTATGAGGGGATCCCCGCCGGCCGCAGAAAGCCAGCCCCGGGGAGGCTCTCGTCCACACTTTACACAATTTAAGAGGCTACTGTTCTTCACAAAACAGGTGTTTCAGGAGGATGTGGATAAAAACCTTTACAAATATGACACATGGTCTTATGGAAAAGTCCACATCCCCCCCCCCATTAAAAATACTCAACGCAAAAGTTATTACATTTTCATATTTGACAACTATTGATTTAGTAATATATCATTCATAATCATCAGCCTTTTTTCCCTTATCTTCACCCATGTATACCTGCTCTGACACATTCAATAAATTGTAGGCCTATGAACACTTAAAATATATTAATTTTGTTTTAAAACAAAACATCGTTTTCCCCCTTAAATATTTTAGGTAAATACCATTTTTTCGTTGCTACATTTATTAGATTTATTGTTAATAATAATCAGTAGTAGTTAAATAATGGCTTTAAATGCCATTTTTATTCCACTGAGTGACGTGGCCTCATGGATTTAAAAATGTGACATGCAGTAGGTCACTAATTTATACATTGTTTAGTTTAAAAATGTATATAATCTAAACATTACTGTGACAATTGTTAAAAATTTCCCAAAAGCACAATAAAATTAAGTTTCAAAAATATCTATTACACAGAATAAAGAAATGTGTTGTTACTAGAATGTGACTAATAAACTATGAATTGATTTTGATTGGCTCTCCTTTCTGGTTTTGGGTAAGTTCTCTCTAAGTCTTGGCAATCTTCTGCTTTATTTTTTATTAATATATTCCATATTAAAAACATCCATCTTTTAATAAGCCTTTCGTTTTGAATGTATGTGTAGAGTTTTGTTTGATATTTGATAAGCAGGGCTTAAATGGCCTTAATCCACAAAGTACTACACTGTTTATCGTTATATAGCATCATTCAAACCTTTTGTCACTATCTAATTTTAACGCAACTCATTTCTCAATATGGCAATTAACATTGACTACCTTTCATGCAAGTTCATTAGCTTATTAATTGGCTTTTTCTATTTACAAACTATTGGCATTTAATTACATTACACATTAAATTTACACTTTCCACTTTATTTTTATGTATTGAGCTATGCTAAATGACTGTATAAATAAAGCTTACAAACAAAACGAAAAAAATTATAAATGGAAATCACCCATCATCACACAAACCATGTGGAAGACATCCGAAAAAAAATAAAAATAAAAAAGGAATATAATGCTGAATAATGTTTCTATAAACCTCAGAAAAGGCTATTATAATAAGATCATAAAGTTCGAAGGTTTATTTCATAATAAAAAGTAAGAAACATCAAAATGGAAAGCAGGCACAAAACAAAGCTACTAAACACCTCTTGCTGAAAACTTCCAATCCAAAAGGATCGATGGGCCGTGCTTTCACAGTCCCTATGCACAATGAGCATCGGGATCAAGCCAGCTTTTGCCCTTTTGCTCTATGCGAGGTTTCTGTCCTCGCTGAGCTGACCTTAAGACACCTAAGGTAAAACTACTGAAGGAAACAATGTTCATTACAATCCAGAAAGTTTAGGGACCTACTAACTTGATAGTTGAATATATTGATTTCACACTAACAGGGAGTACTGGTTGGTTTTTATCCGTATTAAACAAATACTCTTTTGCCTCCTTTATGACAGAGATGATAAAATGAACCCAAGTAACAACCATGACAACTTGTAACAAATTAATTAAAAAATAATTAATCAATTACTTAAAAACAAAACTACTTTGTGAGATTTCCTCTTGTAGTCTGTGGGGTGATAAGCCAATTGTTTGCTAGTTACCTCTCATCTTGGCCTGCTTGTCATCGCTGAGTTTTGCTGGTTCAGACGCATTTCTGCATTTCCAGTGATTTAAGATGACAAAATGCTATACGCATCTGAACCAACAAAAATTAGCGAGGATAGGTAGGCCAAGATGGCATGTAACTATCAAATAGTAAATCACAAATGCACCCAACCATCAATAAGAGCTAACAGAATCCATGTGATTTCACAATATTTGAATATTAGCGAAAAAAAGAGGGCAATTTAAATAGCTGCAGGTTAAGATGATGAGTTTTTCAGGGACCAAAGGCACAATAGTTCAATTTGTAGAGCATCAAGGTACTAATATGGACATCATGGGTTCATGCCCTGCTTGTGACACTAATTTTTTCATCTAAACCTTAGCATAAAAATAATTAATCAATTACTTAAAAATAAACATACTTTGATTAAGATAACCAACAAAAACGTATAAATTTAAAAAAAAAATTAAATTATAATAAACTAAAGATGAAGAAGCAAACTCCTAACAATGTATCTGTGTCATAATATAATTACCGTACATGTATTTAGAAGTGATAGTTGAATGTATTATTTTAATTAATTATACGTTTTATCAAAGGTCTTGGGTGAGATGAAAAATCTAGTGTCACGAGCAGGATTCAAACCCACTACCTTTGGCTCAATACGCGTCTCAACCAAGAACTTAGATAAAAATATAATTTATTTAAATAATTTATAAAATTGACTTTTGTCAAACTTGGTCTGTCAACTGTTAAATATTAAGAATCGATTATTTAATTTATTTAATGGCACAATGATGGCTCTTGTGATAATTTTTTTAAATACTCCAGGCAAAAATTATATAAATGAACCCAAGCAACAAGCATGCCCAAAGTTTTTGCATTTTAGAAACATCAAACAAGCGCATGAATTTTTTCTTCGCAAACAATGTAACGACTTCCCAACAACATCTGCTTTGTTTTAAGACAAAATAATATGCAATACATTATATGAATTGTGATTTTTTTTTTAATTGTTTACATGGCCCAGGTCCAAAAGCTATATTTGAAGAGATATCGATTTACAAAAACAAAACAAAAAATGAAAAGCGAAATACTGACATGAAAAAAATTTACACTCAACCCACCCAGTATTGTAGCCAGCATGAATTATCCTGAAAACCCTATGAGACAATTAATAATTATTGATTTTGCGTAGTATTACCGTGAAAAGCCGCTGACAACTTTTCCAGAATATTTGATGTACTGACAATAAATTAAGAGACTTGGTCGATTTTTTTGAGACGATTGACAAGTCGACCAAAACTGTGGAGAAGACAAGGTACTCAACAACTGACCAAAACCGGACAAACGGCGTAAAACGAGAAATGCCTATTGACCAACAGTCGGAGATAACAATGGTCAACATCGATACTTGCCTACTGCCAAAAGTCAATTTTTATATCGACTTAGACCTCGACAAAACAACTTTGTCAACATTCAAATTTTTAATTAGTTTAATAACAATTAATTAGTGATTCAGTTTTCAAACTTTCTCTATTGATAATTTTTACAGATTAACTGAAAGAACTCGCAAATCGTCCTTAAAATATATCGATAGTTCATTTTTAAAATTGTCAGAAACGATATTAATGAAAAAAATACAAAATAATAAGTGGACTTGCAAATATCCTTGTAATTACATTCTGAATAATAAATATCAAAGCAAGTCTAAAATTTTCATTCCAATTCCCATAAACAGTCAGTGAAAAATTGTAAAAGTTGTTGCCATTGTTTTAATTATTAACAGGAGGGAGCTGGAGTCCACGGGATGAATCCGAAGACTGAACTGACTTTAGGTTAAACTTAGATATACTTCAGTTTTCCAGTCTGAAATTATAGCAATTGAACAATGCACTAGAGAAATAAAAAAGCCACTGAAAATAAAGAAAGATAAAACTCTTAGGTCATCAATTTGGCTTTTTCTGTTAGCCAATAGTTCCATATGTGGGTTCTTGATTTCATTATTGGCAAAAATTTAGCCAGGATCTGCAATGAGCATTATTCAAGTACATTCAAATTATATTAAATCTTCCTAAGTAAAATAAATACAGTATCCTTCACTGATAAAATAATGCAATTTTTTTCCAGTGGAATGTCTAGATAGCCTAAGTGAGAACATTAATTCTCCATTTGGAGTTTTAGCAGGCATTGTCACCTGTTGCGCTTAAATTGTCAACTATTGTGTCTGTGCTATGCTAATGGTTTTCCTGGAAGTTTGTCGTTTTTTTAAATAAAGTACATAGTTCTTCCAGGGGTATGGTGTTGAGGTCTACATTGTTTAAGATTGCTTTTCCTAGGTACCATAGCATTTTCCTAGTTATTGTAGAAAGTTTGCATATGATATGCTCTGTTGTTTCCCTCTCCTCTAGATATAGTCAACATTGGTAAACTGTTAATAATAGCCTAAATAAATAATTAATAAAAGCCTCATGTTCAGTGTTTGTTCCCAGTATTTTCTGTGTTTTCTAGTATGCCAAAATTCCAGATCTTCTACCATCAAGTCGTTGACATATCCATTGTGCCCTATTCCCTCACTAAAGTGGTTTAAATCTTACCTTTCTAATCAGAAATAAGTAGGAAAAATAAATAACTTTTTTTTCAAGATTTCAATGCTGTCAGGTGTACCACAAGATGGACATCTCTCACCCATACTATTTAATATCTATATGAATGACTTAAAATATTACATTAAGAATAGCCTTCATTATGCCAATGATTTGAAACTTATAAAACCATCAAAGCCCTTCAGAATAGTCTTGAACACCAGTCTGACCTGAACTCTGCTCATGAATGTCAATGGAATTCAATGGTGCTGAATATGCAAACACATACAGGCTATAATCTAGTCTAATACTACTTTAATGGATAAATCAGTCACACAAATAAATACATTCATGCATGCACTCATTCTAATTACTCAGTGAAGTACTGGATATTCCTTCATCAACCTATACACAGTATTAATAACCTACCTAAATTAGGGGCGATGAGATGCTTTTATAAATATTCCACCACCTACCCTAAGCACACACACTGCCTGAGGGGTGATAGTGATGCTATATTTCACCATCTCTCCTCATCACTCATACTAATGAATACATGCATTCAAACAAAACACATACAGATAGTACACCTAGAATATAGCTATATGCAGGAAAATAACCCGTTCTCTAAAAACCAGAACAGGGACTCAGGGGATATTAGGAAGCGGGGTTTGTGTTCCCCAGGCACTGCAGTCTTCTGGCTTATTATATCTTAATGTTAAATGTAAAGGTAAGCAAATAAAAATAAACAAGGGACCCAGAAACTGTGCTCGAGAACCATTCTTAAATCGGGTGGCATGCTTAAACGCTCTTTGTATGGAGCCAAGGCATGACACACCTCTATTAGGTGGGAAAACATTGAGCAACCTTGCACATGTTTCGCAGGTGCCTGTGTGTATATTAGCATTTTTTAAATCAATTCCTTACTGCACTTAAGATATAAATGTTTAGATCAGTTTATGTATGATTTTCATATCCAACCATTTTATGTATGGTTGAAAAACACATAACTCTGTTTAATATTTTCAATAATTAAAAAATGGCAAAAAGAGGTAAAATGCCAAAGGTTGTAGATTGAGATGGGGAGTTGGTGCCCAAGTGGATCGAAGTAACTATAGCTCAAATGGTTAGAGCAGCGGCATATTGAGCTGAAGGTCGTGGGTTCGAATCCCGCTCGTGACACTAACTTTTTCATCTCAACCAAGACCGTACATAAAAAGAATAATTAATTGAAATAATTAATATGGTCAATTAGACCACTGAACATAAATGGACTTACAATAATATATCACTATATTACTATTTCATCAAATATAGTTGGGAAGGCCAGAGGCGACGATGGGAATCGAACCCACGACCGCAGGGTCTTGAAAAAAGTCTCATGGTGCAAAAAGTCGAATGTACAGATTCATTGGGCATATTTGTATGTCGGGTTCGAATGTAGGGCCGCTGGATTCGAATCCGGGACCTTTACTTTATAGTGATGAGCGCCGTGTCAACGAAATATAATTTAAAAATATTCTAATATTTTTATCTTGTGTTTTTAAAATTCAAACTTATATTAAGCGTTTACTATTTTTACAATAGTTGGTTTTTTAAATATCGATGAAATAAATCGATAGTGAGTCCCTTAAAAAATATGCCAAAAACGGGAAACTAGTGCTACCAACCTTTTTTATATTTTCAAATGAGACAATGTCCTCGATTTGTTTATCCTTCGGAATCTTGTTTTTCTATTTTTTCGTCACAAATTTATCGGTTTTCCGTTTTCATGGCGTTATTCGCGGTCTCTTTCGACTGCCTTTCGCCAGGTCCATTTTTGATTCTTCAGCCCCAAAAATGACCCCCTTTTGCTTCACCCTATTTTTTTATATGTTGTAAAGTTAAAACGTAAAATTAAAATGAAATAAACATATGTTCATTTATTAGAAGTTTTTTCATTGAAAACAACTGTTTAATTTTCCTTTCTTTAATTTGATTTGAGATTTTTTTAAATAAAACGTTTTTTGGATTGTCGTTTCATATTGTAGTTTTATTTTAAATAATTTTAAGTTTTTTCTCTCTCCGGTCTCTTTTGTCGCTTATGTTGGCCAAACTGCTCGCCATGAAATCGGGAAGGCGGAGCTTCGGCCAGCTCCTTTCTCTTGCGATCTCTCTTCTCACGGACGTTCTCCCGTCTCTTTGGTTTTTTAATTTTAAAATCCGGAACGTTTCTCTCTACCACACGACATGAGGATCTACAAGGATATTTTCACCGGTGAGTCGCAGTTTTATCAGAAAATATTAAATTTCCTGTAGAATTTCATTTTAAATTCGGCTCGTAGGTCAGGTCTCGTCTAGGCTATCCAAGTATTGGACACAACGTTCCGAACACGTGTCCAGTTTTCCATCACGACCACTTTCCAATTTATTTTATTATTAAAACCAATGAAAAATGGCATTTTAATTTCATAGCAGCAGTTTAATCTTCTAAAAGCCATTTAAAGTGTAAAGATCTCTTGTAAGGTTTAAACTAAATATTTAGGAACAGATTATGCAATGAACACGATTTCTTTACATTCGGGAAATCATAATTCGTCAACTTATTCACTTATTCACAGGATTTATTAAATTTTCTCGATTCAAAAGGAAAATCAGTTCTCATAAAAGGTTTTGGATTAGCCCTGAACCGACGTTCTGCTTTAATTTGTTATCCACATTAATTCAACGTCATAATTTTAAATCGCGATATTATTTTACCTACTGTCAATTTTTATTAGAATCTTGAAAACGGTTCTTTCAACAAGTTATGACAACTGATGAGTCACTTGACAACAAAAGTACCAAGAAGCCAGCACATGTAGTGACTTGTATCTCGGAATGTATCACACGACAACTCTTTGGTTTTTCTTGACTACTCCAATATAAATACCTCAAGTTGTAGATTCATCCAACTTGAGTAACAAAAATACATAATAGTGCTGTATCTAGACTCGTACTCAACACGTGTACATCAGAACAATTACAGTTACAAAAATACAAAACATATTAAAAACTAAACGTATACTAAAAATGAGAGAGAGAAAATGATTTACTTGTGATTAGAGTTCCCTAAGAATAACAATATCACAAAAAAATTATAAATTGGCACTTAAATTAATGGTTTGATGTTAACATTCAGTGAAATAAATTGTCATAAAACACATAATACAAACTATAAAAATAAAAATAATAGTACCAATAATAAGAATTTAGGGAAAATATATATACACCAGACCATCTCACGATCTCAAAACAATAATTTTTTTTTCTCCTAATAGTTTTGCATCTGACAATCAGCAGGCATTCCATTACATTCTTTCGACTTCTCTGGTCTCTCTTGGAAACTATACTGCCCTGCTAAGAAGAAATGCTTTTCTCCAGATTTTTTTTCCCACAAATGTATTTTTAGGTACATTAAATATTGGTGAAAACATGACAAAATTGATGTAAATCGATCCAGAAATATTAAAGTTAAAAATATCAACGGAGAAAATTCTAGTTAATAAAACTGTATTTTCAAAATTTAAATAGGCAAAAATACATCATTTTTACACTTAATATGGTGAAATGCATTCCTTTCTAAGAAACTTATTAAGATTTTTAGTTCTTACACGGTCTTAAAACAACTTTCTGTCGACATAAAAAAGGAAACTGAGAGTGACTGCTAGACGGAGAAATAATTTCACTAATAAAGTATTCTATCCGTATTATTCGTTTAACCATATGCAAAAGGGTTTTAAGAACTGTTATCGTCACCCTTAAAAAATTATGAAACCCATGCCATCTACTAGTTGTGATTTTTCACAAGATCAACAGCAGCATAATGCTTCGTGAAAATAATTTTACCCTCTTTGGTGTTTAGGTTTTCTGTTTTAACTTTTTAATGTCTCTTTATCTTAGTCTGTTAGATGTGTCTGTGTTTGGGATCTATAGCATTTGGCCTGTGTGCTTTTTACTTAGTATGTATGTTATGGTTTCTTCTTGATTCAACAAGAAGGGCCCAACTCTGAATCTTGTTTATTAAGAACAGTCCCTGAGGTCTTTATTGAACCTGAATACAAACCAATCAGGTGCCTTTTTATAGTAAAATTTAATTCAAGTTTTAAAACAATTTATTAATTACACAAGAAAATAACATAAATTTCCTTTTTTAAATTTTAAAACGAACAATTTAAAACTTTTAAATTTAAAGAAACTGTAATTTCATGCAAACTGTTTGCCAGACCATTTGGATCAAGGGTGGATGGGTATTCACTATTTATAGTCATAGTGGACCGAAGCACTATGTTTTTGGGATTTCAAAACTTTTCTAGGATCTCACACTCCTTTTTGTCTCTAATCTAAATGGAATGGATTGGGTCTTCAACTGTCTCTACCCTCATCGTGGAGTTCCTCTTTTGTTTTCACTCTAGGACTAATCATGAAATCTAAATCACAACATTGTCACTATGAAATAAATTGACAGGAATGAAGCTACATGTGTAAAACAGGAACGGCAATTAAGAAAAACTAATACAAATCCATCACTGAAGATGGCAAGAAGCCAAAAACCCACCTGAAACACCAAAATTATTATAAACAGCCAAACTACAGTTTCATAATACTGCATTCTCCCAGAGTAAATCTAAAAAAAAAAATCTTTGATTCTAAAGTCATTTGGGTTCATTTTATCATAATGTTCAGTTTTTCATTGATATCAGCCCATTATATACGAGGTTGACATTGCTCTGATGATCAACGTGTTTACTGCACAGTGCTCCATTGTAATTTTAAAAGGTTGAACAAGTTATTTTGTTTAGGGATGGTTAGGTTAAGTTATTTTGTTGGTTGGACTGTAAATTTTCCCAGCCTTTGGATTTTCTTTCATTTATAGGTCTATTTTCAAGAATGATTCACTAAATTAATTTCACGGTTACCTCTGGTAAACCGACAATTCATTCAGTTCCATCAATTTATAGGGAATTTTGTAACTTCTGCATCAAAAAGGAAAGCCTACTTTAATTTAACAAACATACAGCCTTTTTCTGAACTGCACGATTATTCAAATAGGTTTTACATCACTGGATATGCTTGTATATAAACATTCCCCTTGGTTTATAGTCAGCTTTTTTTTGCACCGGTTTCCATTTTTCTCCTCCTTCAAATTTATAGCAGCTACCAGAGATTACCAACGTGTTCCCTAATTTGGCTTCCCCAACCATTTCATTTTTAACCATTTAATAATTTTATTCACACTAATTTTTTTCTGCTTTAGGTGATGAGATGTTCTCCGACACCTACAAAATGAAACTTGTTGATGATGTCATGTACGAAGTTTATGGAAAAGTAAGTATTTATAAATCTATTGGGTTGTCCTGAAAATAATGGAGGTTTTCATGTTTTCTTTCAATTATCCCTCTATAAACTGTTTACATTTTATGGATTCTTTTGTATGAACGTCAATACTTTTTAATCCTCTTCCAAACAAAAATGTTTGTTAGTAGAGTTCGTCACTTAGGAACTCAGTCAGAATGGTGCCAAATGGCCAGAAACATTAATGAAGTCTGGGGCGATGGCAGTGTGAGTGAGAGGACCATTTAGAGATGGTTTAAAAAATTTCAAGAGGGGGAGACTAACTTAATCTTTCGCAAATCGACCATCTTAAGGCAATTAATAGAAAGGTCAAAAAGCTCAAAAGTTGGGTGTCAAAAAGCTCAAAAGTTGGATTCTTCATGCAAAAAAAAAACCTGCCAAAACACAAATAAAACCATTTCTGGATAGAATTACTTGTGATTAAAGTGGATTCTATACAACAGCAGATGTTCTAGACAGTGGCTCGACAAAGGAAAATTTTTCAATTGGTTTTATTTTATAACCATAAATCTGCATTATTTTCCGGTCAACCCAATAACAATAGGTTCAGTTAATTAAATCTACACATTTTATTATTTAAAGCAAATATATTGTTAAATTTTTTTTTTGTAAATGTTGATAATTTGTTCACGTGCTGATGACTAAAATCATTCAGAAAAAGTGCAAACATTTCATTTTATCCAAGGTTGTTTTTCTGCCCTGTTTATATTGTTTTATAAAACCAAATTTGTTTAATGTTTGAGTACTTTAAACATAAATATTAAATTTACAGTTATTATTTAAAAAATCAGTTTTAAAATGATACAAGCACAAAAAAACAAAAAACGACTATATTATTGTGCTCCATGGTAATTTATAATTTTTTGGACAATTAAATAAACAGTAATGTGTAATAAAAACATTCAAGTAAACAAAAATTATCTTCTTTTGTCTGATAAAGAACAAAATATCTGCGTATCTTTTCTGTGGCTAAAATTGATTTATTTTGATTGCAACAATTTATTAAATTAAAATTAAATTAACTTTGTTAAATTTGATATTTTATTGTTTCAAAATAATTTTGTATTTTATTTAAATATTAAATAAAAATTTTTCATTGTTTTATTAAATACAATTTTTAAAAAATATTTTATTGATATATTTATTAGTATGAATATTAAGAAAATGTGTTATTACATATTGGTATACCAAAATTAATATTCCATTATTAGTATGAATATTAAGAAAATGTGTTATTACATATTGGTATACCAAAATTAATATTCCATTATTTTGGTTTCAAATCAAGTTAGTAACCAGAAAGCAGGGAGATGTAAGCATCGACGGTTTCAACCCTTCTGCAGAAGAAGCCGACGAGGGCACGGACGAGGCAGTGGAATCTGGAGTCGATGTCGTACTCAACCACAGGCTATGTGAGACTTATGCATTCAACGACAAGAAATCGTACACCGCCTACCTCAAGGACTACATGAAGAAATTAGTCGCCAACCTCGAGGAGAACAACCCCGACCAGGTTGACACTTTCAAAACGAATATGAACAAAGTCATGAAGGAACTCCTCGGAAGGTTCAAGGACCTTCAGTTCTTTACAGGTACGCCTATGAATTTATATCGTAGTTGCCTTTGTAGTATTTTTAAAGCATGTACTAATAACCAGTGGGTTTTTATTAATAATGCACTGGTAGCAAATCATGCAATAATAAAATGGGTGTCCTTTAGACAACTTATAAAATTTTAGGTTTGAAATGATAAAAGAGGACACTTACAGTTCCAGATTATTTTAGTTTTAGATAAATCTTGCTTTGTATATTTTTTTTTGTAAAAGTTAACTATTTATTTATAGGAGAATCTATGGAGGTCGAGGGAATGATTGCTCTTTTGGAATACAGAGATATCAACAACGAGAGCGTCCCTGTCCTCATGTTCTTCAAACATGGACTATTGGAAGAAAAGTTTTAAATTTCTCTTAAATAAATAAGAAAAGCAAAAACAACCAATAACAACCAATAACACTATGGAGGTAAATTATTCTTACATAACAAGTATGTTAATGTAAAGATAGAATTTAATTTATGTTCTATTACAGATTGTGGGTATCGACAACATCACGACGGGAGTTGAATTCTTCCCCCACTGCGGAAACTTAAAATATCCTATGCAATTTTGAAATAAAACACAAACTCCATATTTGAAATTATTTATTACTGATACTTCCAAAATTAAAAAAAAGTTTTTTAAGCTTATTTAAAAAAATATATATATATTTTATCATTGTAATGCAATTGTTCAAATCAGGTATGCTGGGATTTTTCAGTAGTCCTTGTCATTCATAAAGGGAAAAACCGATGCCAACACCATTGGGAAGAAGACAAAAATTAAATAAATTATTGAGAAATTTATTACAAAGATAACAAACTAGTGCTTTTCTCACCTTGGTCCTCCTGTTTTTTTTTTATTTCCTTGTTATTTATTTACAACAAATTATTATTAATTTGGATCTTAATATTAACAGATATATCGCAACAGAGATAAATATATTTGTCAATATATTTTTTTGGTATAATGATACTTATGTATTTTCTTTTTACCTTTTATTTTGAACCGCTCGCATGAACTGCTTATATTTGTTTGTTTTTTCTTAAATCAATTTATTTATTTTATTTATATTTAAAAAAAATGTTTTAATGCATCTTACTGTTCGTGTAAATCTAGAAAAGTGCTTGGCTAACGCCAATTTGATTTGTTTTGGAGAAAATTAACTATATTTTTTGGTTGTTTATATTTTAAATAAGTGTAAAAATGAGTTACAGTACATGGATAAACTGATACTAAATTTGTTGACTAACAACAAGAAGGAAACTGCTGTCAATAACGGTGTCAGTTTTCAAATTCCATCTCTGGCATTAGGGCAAAGTGTATGTTGGATTTTCTTGTTGCACATTGATAATGAGCAATGAGAAGAAAAGTATGACAATGCTGATAGATCTGGCCCTTCAGATTTCACTAACAACCTGGGAAGCTTCCAAGTAGCAAGACAAATATGTTACAGGAAATCAAAATATTGTAAATACTGAATTACCACAATTAAATTTTATGTGAAAAAAGAATGTAGCATATCCTTAATTGAACTTAACAGCATTCGTAGTTCTTATGCTGCGTTTTTCTATTTATTGTAAGAGGAAAGTAGAACTAATTTTAGAATTATTTTAGTTTTCAATGTTGGAAGTATCGACCACTTTTTCACTCTTGAACAGGATCTTAAAGAAAAAACAAATTTTGTTACTGCCAAGCTTTCAGGCTATTTGAAGGTCATTAGTGCCTGTATTAATTTCACATTTTGAAAAAACAATTGTTAAATCATTTGTACAAATATGTTTTTCGTAACAGATATTTATGCTTGTTTGTTAGGCTTGTATGTTGACTGTTACTATCACAAAGAAATTAATAATACTTAGTTCATTGACCTCCATTATTGTTAATGCAAACAAACTAACTTAAATTACTGAGAGCCAAAATTTGCAAGAAAATGTCACAACAAAAAAAGCGTTTGCTTTTTAGGGGTAATATAGCTGGATTTTTAAAGTTTTGTGTTTTAGCTTAGGCTTGGACAAACGAAAGACATTGAAGGATAATGACAGATTTTATTGCCAACCATAATGGCGTGTACTTAATACATATGTCAAAAAGTAAACTTCCATCTGTCTCCTGTAAAATTTTCTTTTGTTGAGTTTTGAGTTGAGTCAATTTTCTTACAGATGAGCGATATACAGGAAGTACTTTTATAAGTAGGTGAAATATCCTTAATTTGCATAATATTGTGAATAGTAAGTTTGGGTGGTTTTGTGAAGTAATATTGAGTACATTACAATTAATTAAGGTTTTTAGTCAAGATGAAAAAAAGTTACTGGCACAAGAGGGATTCGAACCCACGACCTTCGGCTAGATACGCCGCTGCTCTACCACCTGAGCTATCGTGATCTCGATCCATTTTTTTTCATCTCGACTAAAAACCTTAATTAATTGTAATGTATTAATTGGTCAAGCAGACCATGAAATTAGTGAATGGAAATATTGAGTACCTTCAAACACACCGGAGTTATTTAATTTGATTTATATTTGCAATGTGATATATGGAATATTGGCTACCCACTGACCTGTCGAACCAATTATGTTAAATTAGTGAATGCACGATTTTTATTGTGTGTGAATGTATTTATTGGCATGACTGAAGGGAGAGTGTCGAGGTGAAAATCACTCCAAACTGTTGGTTCAGGCTGTACATAATTTTACCTTTTTATTTATTTATTTTTTTTTTTCACTTTTTGTTAATGATGATTTACCCACAGATTTGTTGTTTCTTGTGTTCGACAGGGTGATAAACCTATAGATTAATCTTTTCTTTCTCTCCACCCTCCACTGCTGCGGTGGTAGCAGCTCAGGTGGTAGAGCAGCAGCGTAAGTAAAAATTTTCTTTTTTTTGTTATCTTAATGCATTCTCTTCATGATATTACAAGTTAGAATTAATATTACCAGTGAATATGGCAAAAAGTCAAATTGTGCTTGACAGACCAAAACTGACTAATCTACAGATTCAAAAATTAAGGAGAATTCACTAGTTTTCGTGGTCCGCTTGACCAATTAATATCTTTCAATTAATTAAGGTTTTTTGTTGAGATAAAAAAGTCAGTGCCACGAGCAGGATTCGAACCCACGATCTTCGGCTAGACACGCCGCTGCTCTACCACTTAAGCTATCGTGACCTCGATCCACTAACTTCCCATCTTAACCCCACCTTTTGAATTTTCCCTCCTTTTTTAGTGGATCGAGGTCACGATAGCTCAAGTGGTAGAGCAGCGGCGTATCTAGCCGAAGATCGTGGGTTCGAATCCTGCTCGTGGCACTGACTTTTTTATCTCAACTAAAAACATTAATTAATTGAAAGATATTAAGGAGAATGCTAGAAGCCTGTTGAAGTGCTTAGACAGTTATAATGTATTATACTTATGTATTATAAACAGTGAGATGCTATTTAAAAAAAAAATCTAGTACAGTGAACAAACAAGTTATTCTGAATAATGAACATTATTGATGCTAGACTATTCCCTGCTCCCCAAAAAAATTGGCGCCCTTTGAGATTCTGATTTCTTTTTTAATTTGACAATGTTTTGGTCATATTTTTGGTTTTACTACTTTAAAAATGATTTAATAGTAATAATTAAATGGAAAGCCTTTTTGTCACCAATTGTGAGGCAAAACCACTTAATTGCTAATTTGATTTAAAATCTCCACAATGTAAATCATCTACAAGGGCATATAACACTTTAAAAATGCCTTTATTCACTATTGTGTTGGTGGTACAAAACAAAACTATTTGAAAATGCCCTATAATCGGCGAGCAAATTGCCCTTGCCATTGTTGAGGATCGTTGAGGATGAAAGAAATCAGGTCACACTGGGAGAGTTAGATTTGCTTCAAACGATGGTTGTTGGAATTCAGTGGTATGAGGAGATTACAAGGTGTACTCAGAGACCTGGATCAGGATGACCAATTTATCAGATTTCATACTATGAAAAAAGAAAGACTTTGAACTGTGCGGGATGTGTCTGTTAGCACTGAAACGCAGAAGGCCAGCAACAGGTTCAGCACTTACCAGAGACCATCGTTGGGAGTTTGCAAGGGACACGTCGGTACATTGGGACCAGATGCAAAAGAGGAATGTGGGTACGTTGGACAAACTGTAATGAAGAAATTTTGTTGTAAGACGAGTCCGAGTTATTCTCTCCATTCACCAGACAGATGTCTTTAAGTTTATCAAGCAGTTGTAGAGCTCTACACGGACAGAGAGGGTCATTTGGAGGTGGTTCAGTGTTTTTTTTGTTTTTTTTTTTGGTGGAGAAGAAAAAGAATCAGGATGATTGTGGGAATACTGCTGTAAAATTTATATTATGTTATTTGCATGATTTTATTAGACCTTTTTATTTTACATTTTGTAAATTGTCAAGTTCGAAAATTTTCTATTATTATCCGATATAAAACATAAAAATACAACCATAAATATATATAAAAATTAAACATTAAGTTTTCTCGCTGAGCCTCTTCCAGGCAAAATGCGGCGTCGGAGTGATGTAGAAAGATGAAGTGTGCCTGAGTGGTGACTGCTTGAAGTCTGGCACCTGGCCCATTGCGGACCTGGTCATTGCAACATGTTCGCCACGGGTGAGCATCCGGTCGACCACTTCCGCTTCTGCAAGGACGTCCAGCTCTGATGTGCTCCTTGGTGGCATGTCACCATAAACAGCCCAATTTTTCTTCGGGTCCTTTATCCTTATCTGGACGCTGCTGATCCCACCGTTCTCACTCTTAGCATGACCGGGGGGCGTTTCTGTAAATTAACTCGGTTAAAAAGACCTTAAAAATTCCTTTAGATGATAAATAATTTAGGTCTCTTCTTGCTGAACAAACTTTAAATAACACTATAATTGTGTTCTCTAAGTAAAATAACTCCTATCTTACAAGATGGCTTAATGTCCAAATACCTTTTGTGGAAGAGGGGACTTTACAATACTTCTTTCAATTTAATCTCAATTTAAAAGCCATGGGCTGTGTTAGGATTTGAACTCAAACTGCTAGTATGGCAAATACAAGTCGGATGCCCTAACCTCTCGACCATCTAAATGGAATAAATAAAAACCCTTCCTAGTCTACAATCATGCCATCCACCTAGGACAAGAAGCTAAATCTTATCAGTTTTAACCCTGCAAGAAGTAAAGCTACAAAAGTAGTTCTCGACCAAAATCGGAAATGGAATGGTCACCCCAAGAGAACCCATGACAGTACTAAAGTCACAATAGATTTTGAAATCTAGAAACTGGGTTACTAGAGATACAAATAATAGAAATATACACAAGGGAGTTTTATTTATTATTTATTTAGACTAATAATTAACAAATTATCAATGTTAACTACTAGAGGAGACAATAGAGCATATGACACAATACCACAATAGCATGGAAAATTGTGTTGTTTATACATATTATGTTTTGAAAATTTATCCATAACCAGATCTTCCTCCATAAATTTCCATAATAAGACAACATGATTGCTTTGTATCCAATTTGACTTTATTCAGTCTTGTTGTTTAAAGTCATTTACTCGCTCTGTATGTTTAGTTTTTCTGCCTCAGATCATTTTATATACAAATTCATGTTTAACTTGTGCTTCATGCATTGACAATTTACCAGGTAGAATAAAGTATCTGTTTTTTGCCAGTCAGTCTATGATTTTTCTATAAAACAAGTTCAATTCTTTCTCATACCTCACTTATTTCAAGAATAATAAAATGTAAGATGAAATAGGCTATGTCCTTGTTTTACAAAACGAACATCCAATGAAATGAAATTCTAAGTTGATACTTAAGATTATTCACAATGAATTTAGGCATTTTAATCAAGTTCAATTTTTTCCAATATATAAACCTTATTCTTAACCATCTATATTAATAATAATAATAAAAATAAATAAATGTGCAGTTATACACCTGCAGCGGGGCAATTTTAAAACATCTTTAAAAACTTTTCAATTAATTAAGGTTATGATTGAAATAAAAAAGTCAGTGTCATGAGCGGGATTCAAACCCATGACCCTCGGCTTAATACGCCACTGCTCTACCACTTGAGCTATTGTGACTTCAATCCACTCGGACACCAACTTCCCATCTCAATCCCAACATTTTGCATTTTCCGTCTTTTTTGCCATTTTTCAAAAAGTTGGATTCAGGTCAATATTGACCATTGGAACTGCATACACATGAATTGATTGAGCATCTTAGCTGTTGCATAGTGGAAGAAGCAACATCAGAGAACAGAATTTTTCTGCTTCAAGAGAAAGAAAACTGGAGTTGAATTTCAATATCTGTTAATAGCATTTTTGTATTAAAAATAATGTAAATCAGATTTATTTGAAATAGGTAAAGGTACAACTGGCAAGTTGCAATTTTTAAAATCAAATATGTCCTTATGTCATGGGCGCAAAAGTTCAAATGGACTAAAAGATAAAAACAACAATTCTGCAAGCCTATTTGAACATCTTACCTTGAAAAATGTAAAAGTCAGTACCCCATGTTTTTTTAAATACATTTTTTAGCAAAAGAAGAAATTAAATCACCTTTAGGTTGTTCTTCTCTTTGATGTTCCACGGTCGGTTGTTCAACCGTCGCGACTTCTTCTTCTTTCTTCTCCTCTTGTTTCGGTATGACGACGATGTCTCGTTTCGACCTAGCCGGCAGCTTCTTTGGCCTCTCTTTCCTTGCGCACTTTGTCCCCGCGTCCGTCAGGAAGAGAACACCGCCGATCAACGCCAGTACGGCGAGTACGATGGTGTTGTCGTACAACTGGTCAGGAACGTCGTCGATCGATGATACCAGAATGCCTCCGGAACCGGCCATCATCAAAAAACCGATCACCATCATCATTGACTCCTAAAAACGTTTAATAAATTTTAGGGTTGTTTTCATTTATCTTAACATATATCCTCGCTGGTTTCGGTTGTCTGTCAGGATCTGGCAAGGCAGCCCATACTCCATATTCAATCATTCAAAAGTACCAACAAAGATGCAATTTACTATTTATAAAAGGGACCCAATTAAACAGAAAACAACACCACACATCCCAACACTGATGATGGCGAGAAGCCTAAATGCGTCTAATAGAACAAAAGAGCCCAGGATTGGTAAATCAAAACGGCAATGTAAAGATCTCAATTAAAAAAGAAAAATTCACAATAAAGGTCCAGCTGGGGTATGTAAATAATTAATTTCCTTAATTAATTATAAAACAGAGTTCGGTTAAAAAATAAACGGGAAGTAAATAGTGAATGGAATAAAAAAAGTCCCTGTTAAACCGGCTTTCGTCAATTGGAAACATGACAACCTAAGGGAAAAGACAAAAGACACCATTGTTAGAAAGATTTAGATGATGATGATGATGATATTGAAACAATACATATTCTTAATTTATTGACCAATAATGTTGAGACATTATCTTCCTTACATTTAATTTTTTTCCTCCCGCAAATTCTATTCAGAAGAATTTTGAATTATAATATCCAATAACAACAACAATTGCTAAACTTTTTTGTTTAATAGAAACTAAATATGATGCTAGGTTGATCAGACTTTAATTTCGGGTTTTTATATTTCGTCTAGATGCTTTCATGTAAGGCAAAGCCAGCTTCATAAAATAATGGGAAATAACAAGATTTTAAACAACTAAGTAGTTAAAATTTTATTCGAGTGAATGTATTTTTTTAGCGTGAATGTTGTAGTACTTTTTTTGCTGTTTTTGTGATGTAATATCGAGTACCTACAAACACACCAAATTTATTTAATTTTATTTATATTTGCAGGGTGACAGATTGTAATCACTGGCTTAATTCCTAAACCCTGGCAACTATCAAATTGGGTGAATGTATTTAATTGCGTGAGTGGTTAAGAGTGTATGGATACGGTCTGTTTAGAATATCGAGTGCCCACTGACCTGTTAAATAAATTAGGATAGTGAATGCAAGATTTTTACTTGTATGAATGTATTTATTAGCGTGAATGGAGGAAGGTTGTTAAGGTGAAAATCACTCGAAACCGGCTTAGGCTGTACATAACTTTACCGTGGTTTAAGGGGTGGGGGTCTGAGCAGTATATCAAGAAATTTTGTGCTCTTCCAAGCTTCGGTTAGATAATCCTTTAAATAGCATGAATATGTATTTTAATTGACTTAGTACATTTTAATCACGTGTGGAAGGGTTAAACGATAAAAAGGGTAATAAAACCAATGCGATATAAAAAAACGTGAGGAGTCGGCAAAAACATTTTCAAACCATCTAGCCTTGCGACTCATTTATATAATAAATACGAGATATCATACACAATTTGATGATTACTTTAGTCAATTGTACATCTTCAAATTTAGGAAATAACAGTTATAGCATATAACTATGTGAAATACATGGTTACTTCAATGGAAGGTGAATTAAATATGCATCAGTGACTCACAAAAAATAATTGTTGCTTTGTGAGTTAATTATAATCAAAAACAATAAAAGAACAAAGTTCACATAGGAATGTGTATTTTTTTAGTGACCGGTTGTTTAATAATTTGTTGGATTCATAAGGAGCGGTCAAGAATGAGGTAGATAGAAAAACTCCTTTTTTCATTTTTTTTGCCGACGTTTCGACCTTTATTTGGGCCATCTTCAAGGCATAAAGTGGTGTCATATTGGTGTTATGTGGAATAATTGTGCTCCTCACGAATCCAACAAATTATTGTACATAGATTATGCTTCAAAATTTCTGAGTTGTTCTAAATGGAAAAAATCACTTACTGATTTGGTCTTGGGGTCGCCCAAGACGTGTCCGACAAGCTGGCACAGGCATATTATCAAAAATCCTCCGAACGTGATGTCCATAAAAATGGACGTGAGTGAGGTGGCGTGCGTGTAGCTGGCACCGGTCCACTCTCGGGACTGCTTCTGCAGAAAATGGTTCACCCTGTCCGCTTCCCATGTCGTCATCACTTTGAAGATTAGAGCCACTGTGCAAATAGCCTGAAAAAGTAAATTGTACCGCTTTTAAAACTCATGGCATGACATGAATTCTGTCAGGGTCTTTTGATCCTGTCCCTCTACAGGAAAGAAAGCAGTAGGACCCTCTTTGGAAATATCTGAGCCCGATTAAAACGAATTTATTTAATTAATGATACACACACAATATTAAATATAGACACAATGTTAATACAGATCTAAAATTTTGCTTATAAAAGACCCAAAATATAATAAACTATACTTGACAGCATGTGCATAACCCATAGATCTTTAGTGTATGGGCATTGCCAACCAGTAAAAGTTGCAATTTTTTTAAGTTTTAGGGCCGGCAAACTATACTGGTCATCTCCAGCCCTCTCCCTTTGCTGAGTTAAGTATACAACAGCAATTGAATCATTATCATAACCACACTAAGGGAAAAGGTCATCCCATGTCTCTGTCAGCCTTCCGAATTTTCCCACGTAAACGGATGGGAACCCAATGACAATCGGAATTATAAGAAAGAAAAAAGCCCTCTTCTCTGTCGTGGTAATTAATTAGTCCGCGCTTTACCTTCACTTTCTATTTCGTATATATGCACGGTTTAAAGGTTTCCCGAGCTTGTGAAAAGGAAAGGCCGTCAATTATCTCTAATCTGATCGGGGTTCGGACCCGGTTCACTTTAGGTACCAAGTGAACTCTTTTTATGGGATAGTTTATAGTAATTTTATCTGATTTTCAGATCAGCTTTTCTCCTATGAGATGAGAATTCAAAAGCTACCTAGTTTAATAGTGCATTAATGACTTCCTCCTGGCAAACACCGTCTAGTTTTTTTTACTTGAATAAATAAGAGTTTTTCGCTTGTGAACTGTGCTGATTATCATGTGCAACTCAATAATTCATAAATTTAATATGAACAATTTATCTGTAGTTTGTGAGAGGGAACATATTGTTGCCACTTCATTGTCTTCTCAATAATTCAAACTGAAAATCCAACTGTCAAAAAGGATACACTGGCAAAAAGTGCTCATAAGGTCGGAGAGCAAAGCAACCGCTAAAGCATTGCAGTATGTAAAAAAAATCACATAAAAATTAGTCAATGAATGCATCCAAAATCTGGGGGAAAATAACAACCTGATGATATCTTGGGGTATCAGGACACAAGGGAATTTTGGGTAACGAAAAAGCAGAAACACAGGCCAGTGGAGGATCTACATGACCAGGCTCTGAACCAATTCTTGTTACACAGGATCCTCCATCATTGAACGGATCCAAAAAGACCAAAGGAGAAGTGGATAAACTCTAGATGTGCTAGTCACCAAGGCTGGCAAACTCACTGGTACAGTTAGGTAGGGGTAAACTCAGAGGAGTGATAGCACTATATACATGTCACAAGCATCTGAGAAAACAACTACACCACATGAGTGTATTCAATGATCATCCCATTTATAGATTGTGCAAAGAGTAAGAAGAAACATCCACCCATATCATCTTCGAATATGAAGCTCAATGGAGGCATAACCTGGAATACATAGAAAACCCAGGGAAAGGAACAGAAGCAACGACATAACCTAATATTCCTTAAAAGAAGGTCGAGTCGATTGCACTGAACTTTTTGCCTTGTACATTAGTACATCTAGCCATTCCTGTTCATGGGTCCGTGGACAGTCCACAGCCCGACCACGCCGAGACGGAAGGCCTCTCCTCCGTAAAGGCCCTTCTACCCTTCTTTTACCAAACCAACAACCACAGATTGTTCCAGATGGATACGCTGAACTTAGGAACAAGGAAAGTACAAGCTTAAGGAACAACCTCCCACTTCTTATTATCCTTTTCATCATCATCCCCATCATCAGCATCCACCTTTCAAGCTTTCTATGAGTCACAAACAAAGATCCCAGTTTTTCTTTCAAATGTATATAATTTATCATTTGACTCTACTTCAAAGTCTGGCTGAAAATTAAACGGAGTTTATATCGTTGAAATTGAACAAAATGTGGTTCTGAAGTTCATTAACTTTGATAAAAATAAAATAAATATTTTCCACCTATGCCGTGCATTCAAATCTCATAAGCCCAAGGGAATTGACCGTACTGAATAAAAATTTATAAAGATTGTTTTGGGTGTTTATCGATCTGAAGCAAATTAAGTTTGTGTGATAAGATCTTAGAGGTCATATGGAGCCAAAACAACTTTTACCAAAACAACCGTCATCAGGGCCTGTTTATGAGTGTGGAATATACCACCAAAAACTCGGTACAGCCCAAAAAGTTGTTTTTTCTCTACATGACCTTTAAATATCTTATCACCCAAACTTAAAAATTTATAAATTAAGTAAACCGTTCAATTCTCCCTTATTTCACAATAGAACATAACGTTTTATCCTACCCAATTTGAAAATAAATTATTCACAAGATGGATTCTCAGAAAAGAATGGGAAAGAGGAACAAATTAAGCGTTTTAATTACTTCTCATTCGCACGAGATAATTGGAAATGACGAAATGAGAAAAAAAACAAATAATTAATACGGAAAAAGGAACAATCCCGTACAAAAGAAACTGGGTGAGCGTTATTTTTTAACTATTAATCCATTTATAATCTAATTGACCAAATTAGTTATTTCAATTAATTGTTCTTTTTATGTAAGGTCTTGGTTGAGATGAAAAAGTTAGTGTACGAGCGGGATTCGAACCCACGACCTTCGGCTGGTTATTTTTAACTTTTCGATAATTCTTATCGCCTAAAAAAACCAACAACGAAAATTAGAAATAAATGATTGGTTAACTTGTCTAATACAAATTCTTAATATATTTATAGTATTTTGTAATAGTTTAATACACACATATATTGCAGATGTAATAAAAAATTTGGACACAGGGCGGGCGATTCGAACGCAGCGATACACAGCTCCCATAAAAATTAGAACCCTCAATGAAAAATTATTATTTTGTTCCTAGAAAACCACCTTGTTAAATCAAATATAAAATAAGTGAATAATAGTTTAATAATGACTAAAGCAGAAATGGACTAATTAAAATAATTAACTTCTGACCAAGGGTATGTAATTTTTTGTTTTTAAAAATAATAATCAATAATTGACCAGTTTCGCATGGGAACTTATGACTAATACTGGAAACCCAAACAACTGATAAATTAGTTACCAACTTCCGTGATATGAAACTTCAAAATACAAGGTGAAACCTAGACATAAGTAAACACTTACGCAATTGTTTTTCCTAAAAATTCTAAACTTTGTTAAACTAGATTTAATTCTTTTAAAATAATAATAATATAATTTTATTAGGTACCTAAATCTTTTAGAATTTAAAAATCTCTTCTCTTTGTTATTGTTGTCCTTCTTTTTCTTTTTATAGATGAACTATTTCTGTTTTATAGGCTTTGTTTTGAAAGTGTTTTTTTTTAAATATACATGTATACATATGTTCTTTAAAATGGCACAGGATCGCCGAAAAAAGTCAAAAAATCGTAATTTTATTACAAAAACTTCTAAACTTGGAAATAAGACCTCCAAAAAAGTAAATTTTCATCTATATGTATTTAGAAGCTATAATTGACCGTGTTAATTATGTAAATTAATTGTATTTTTAATTATTCAGAAATCGTGAGATGCGGTCTGGTGTGATGTAGGTTTCAGGAAAACATTTTCTTTATAGTGCCAACGTTTCGATCTTTATTGAGATCATCTTCAGGGCCTTTGTACGTTTAATCTAAGGTCTTGGTTGGATGAGAAAGCAAGTGTCACGAGCCGGATTCGAACTCACGACCTTCGGCTAGCCTTTTACATAAATACATATATGTTCTTGAAAATGGCACAGGATCGCACAGGAATTTTAAAAAAATCGTAATTTTACTTTAAAAAAAACTTCTAAACTTTAAAATAAGGCCTTCAAAAAAGAAAATATTCATCTATAAATATCTATCTTTAAATCTAAAGAAATTCAACATAAAACATACAAAATATAAATCAATTGAAAGTATTTTATTTATTTTTTAAAACAAAAATAAACTTTTATTGTAAAAGAATGAAAATTAAATCAGATCATATCGTAGGAATTGACACATTAAATTCATGAACTAACGGCAACAAATCAACTATTTTTAAAAGTTTCATTAAACTTTTTCATGACTATCTTCAAAATTGTATCTTGTACATTTTCATTGCACAACCCTGCGACATTTGAGCAGAGCTATGTCGAGATTTTTGCTCATGTTGGCAAATGTTTGCATGAAACCATTTTCATTTTCTTCTAATATATTTTCACAATAAAATTTCAGACTCTTGTTTAAGTCCGAATGTTGAGTTATGTCCAGCTCACCGATAAGCGAGTTCATTTGGCCATCTTCAGTGATGAGCGGGATGACATGGAGCTGACCCGTTGCCTTAAGCGGCCCATAGACGGTCAATATTATTGTACAATATAGATTGCACAATAATTTGACGATTGCCCCTTAACGTTCAATAATATTGTTCAAAATTTTGTTTGTGGAAAGAACTGTACCACTTGTTGATACTTCACAAACTGACTCGTATTGCGCAATAATGCCAACAGACGGTGCAATATTTTCCAGATTGTACAATATATTTTCAACTTTTCGTCAATCATGCAATGTATTGCACAAACTTTCAATATCGTCTACACACGATCAATTAAATTGCACAACCCAAAATATTGTGCAATAATATTGATCGTCTATGGGCCGCTTAGGAGCTGGCTCGGACATAATTGTCCATTTTTTTACGAGGGTTCGCAATAGCAAAGGCAACCCTCAGGGTGCCGGTGTTTTTGAAAAAAAAAAAAGTCCATTTGTAAGTGTGTCGGATTCGAATGCAAGGCTGCTGGATTCGAACCCGCGACAGCGATAAGCGCCGTGTCAACGCCTAAACCGTTGCGGCCACCGAAACCAATCGTCCATTTTTTGCAGATTTTCTCTAAAGAATCTAAAGAAAGCAATACACAAAAAAATTATATGATGTAAATTATATGATAAAATTTGTCATCATAGTTCCATTGGTTAGAGCAGCGGCGTAATGAGCCGAAGTTCGTGGGTTCGAATCCCGCTCGTGACGCTAACCTTTTCATCTCAACCAACACCTCAGATTAAAGGTAGAAATAATTTAAATCTTATATAAACACTGAAAAAAGACCATTCTGTCAAATTGATAAATCAAGAGTAAAAAAGTTGTTTTATGACTAAACCGTTAGTGTTATTAAACCATTTTTACATCTCCATAACGAATAGTAATTTTTTAATTCAAAATTCTTTGGAAAATGCGCGCTACATGCAAACGACTGCTTTAAAACGCTTTCTCTTCTTATCTTCAGCTTAAAGATAAACGGCTGCCATTGAGACGCTTTTGTATAAGTATGTCACTGTTTAGCATAAGTTGTTTGTTATTTATTCTATACGTATAGCTCTGTTTTCGCAACACGAAATAAAACTGCTGCAAACCTGGTTAGATAAATAAATAAATAAAATTAAATAAATCTCTTGAGGTTCCAATAAATGCTTAGAGAAGTTAGGCAGATATCTGTTGTGTTTTGCGGTTTCCCAAAAAATCTATCCTATCACAGCTTTTAAAGATTCTATTTACCTTTAGATACTTATAATTATATTTTTGATAACAATGGTAAAGGTCACGGGTTGGAATGCAGGACCGATGGATTCGAACCTGACGTACAATGGTGTGGTATGGTATAAAGATACTAGGAAGCGGGGTTTATGCTCCCCAGGCACTGCAGTCTTCTGGCTTTTTCCTAGTTCCTTAGTTCAATGCAATAGACTCAATTCTTCTTCTTAGAAGTATAGGTGTCATTGACTGCTGCTGCTACAATTTCAATCCCTAGGTTTTTTCTAAATGTTAGGTTATGTCTTCATTGAGAAGTTGCTTCACATTCGAAGATATCGGTTGCTGGTTCTTCCTCCTCATTACATAATCTGCAAATGGGATCATCGTTATATATGCCCATGTTATGTAGATGTTTTCTCAGATGCCAGTGACCGGTTAGTATAGTAGTCCTACCACTCCTCTGAGTATATCCCTGTTCAATTGCAGCAGTGATTTTGCCAGTCTTGGTTAGGGTTGTCGCTGCTAGAGTTTATCCGCTTTTCCTATTGTTTTGTTTAGATCCATTCTTCAATGGATGATTCTATGTTTGCTTTTGTTATCCCAAGTATAGGTTCGGGGCCTATGTATAGATTTGCACATCCTCCTCTGGCCAGTCTGTCTGCTTGCTCGTTACGCCAAATTCCTCTGTGCCCTGGCATCCAAGATATCATCAGGTTGTTGTGTCTCCCCAGGTTTTGGAGATTTTTGATGCATTCACTGACTAATTTTGATGTGATTTTTTTACATGCTAATGCTTTGAAGGCTGCTTAGGCTATCAAATCTTACAAGGATTTTTTCGCCAGTGTAACCACTTTTAAAGATTTTCCTAGGAGCGTTGATGGCATGTACTGCTTGAAAGACCGAAGTGTACTTCCATAATGAGTTTGATTGCTCATGTTTTGGGACTGTACAGAAAATGCCCGATCCTTCATTTGTTTTGGGGCCATCTGTATATTGAACCTACATACAATGGTATGGTAATAAAGATACTGGGAAGCGGGATTTGTGCTCCCCAGGCACTGCAGTCTTCTGGCCTATTGTACCTTCCTAGTTCCTACGTTCAGGATAATTGTATCTGATGCTCTCCTGTGTTCTTCCTCTCCTTTACAGTCGGTTAAGACTATAGGTTGTTGTAAAGAATGTTCCGGGATCATATAGTCAGTCCCAATTTCTAAGAATGGGTGTCTGATTCTGTTAATTATGGTTGGTTTGGAGCCTAAACGAGCTTTTCCTAGCATCTCCTTGTATAAATGTTTCCAGTGGAGGTAGGTTTAGTAGATTTTCTAGAGCACAAACAAATGGGCTTTTTTCGAAAAGACAGACACCCCTCGGGTTGGTAAGTCCTTTGTAACAAAAACCTGGATGTCCGTTTACGAATCGTTCCTTCCACAGTTTACGCGTTTGAGCAGTTGAAACAACCCGCGAGTCAAGATGGTTAAGGATAGACCCAATAAGTTCAGGCATGAAATGTTTAACTTAACATTTAAAATGTGTGTGTGTTATGGATGTAAAAGCGAAATTTAAATTTACAGAAGAAAAGTTGGTAAAACATTTATCACCTAGATTGATAGATATTCATATTTTTAACTGATAAATTTTTAACTATACTTCTGTACTTACTTTCCTTTTTGAACTTATTATGGACAACTTGGCTAACAGAAGTGAAGAGTGTAATTGTTTATTCGTATCATTTTTTATTCATCTGTTGTTTTATTCCTCTTTTCTATCTATGTTTTTATTATAATTTACATAAAGCACATCCTACTACTACTATGGTAAAGTTGTTAGCTGGTGGCTACCTGGTTTCGAATTCGAGAATGTTCGAACCAAAATCGTTTTGTAAGCGTTAAACGATGAAAAATATAACGTAGTAGTTGACAAAAATTAAACAAACGAAAAGCAGGAAAAACATTTCCTCTCGCATTGGTATTCGTTTTGGAAATGGTGTCAAGGTAAAATAAAGGCCTGCAAGACTTCAGCTCCAGCTAAAAATTACAAATGGAATCAAGAAATTTCTGATCCAACTTATTCACTCGGATTTAAAAAAAAGGAACGTATACTCAATAGTATTTAAATGAAAGATAACTATTACTTACTTAAGGTACTTAACGGCAATTTCTCAAAAAATGGCTTCCATAAATAAATCTGTCCTAATTAAGTCAAATAAATATGGCATTCAGAAGCATTAGAAATAACGCAGAAAGTTCCGAATGGGGAAAAAGCATATAATATTACATATAGCTTAAAATCCGCATTTATCCGGAGAACTTAAAAAATATGAAAAATGGCAAAAAGGAGGGAAAATTCAAAAGGTGGAGTTGAGATGGGAAGTTAGTGTCAGAGTGGATCGAAGTCACGATAGCTCAAGTGGTAGAGCAGCGGCGTATCTAGCCGAAGATCGTGGGTTCGAATCCCGCTCGTGACACTGACTTTTATCTCAACTAAAAACCTTAATTAATTGAACTATATTAATTGGTCAAGCGGACCACTAAAACTAGTGAATTTAAAAAATATGTGTTGTACCTATTATTTATTTATCGACTTATTTAACAATTTATTGAACACTTATTTTTTAAGCATTTGTTTTTATACAATAAATATATTCTAGATATCTAATCTAGCAAAATTGCATCCCTACTAAGCTAGAAATATATANCCTTGCATAAATTATTCAGAAATCGTGAGATGCGGTCTGGTGTGACGTAGGTTTCAGAAAAACATTTTCTTTATCGTGCCAACGTTTCGATCTTTATTGAGAACACCTTCAGGGCCTGGGATTAAAAAATGTTTAAATTTAACAAATAACATGTAGGATGGGAAAAAAGTGAATTTATACAATGCAAAATATATTTTTTATATTCATTCAAGTATTTCTACTCACTCAAAGTTTTTGTTTTCTGTGTAATTGTGCCATTCACTAATCACCACACCTTTACATAAAGATTAATTAATTGAAAGATGTTATTTGGTCAATCGGACCACGAAATCTAATGAATTAATTAATAATTTAAAAATTTAACAAACATGAACATTTATTAGCAAATGTAAAACTATGGTTTCAAATAAAATGAAATTAAATATTGATATCAAATAGCAAATGACCTGTGGATTCTACACGTAGATTATAGATTTGGCTTCACTTTTGATTGTTTTAAATACATAATTATAATTACATTATTACGATATATAATTAAGACAATCCATTAGATAAAAAAATTGCCTTCAGGTTTTATTTTCTAATTTATCTATCACAAATGTACGAAGAGTGTACTTACGACTTGAACACCTTTAAGAAAGGCTTTGTTGTCACATGGCATTTTAATGAAAAAAAATTATCCTCCCAATGCCAAAATCACAAGAAATCCTCGCAGGTAGCACAGTTTAACAAAGTTTTCCACGTAGCGTTGGCATCAGTATCACCATAACTGTCACTTTTCACAGACACGACTGCGTTACCGGCTGGGTAGCGACTCACGCCGCCTTTTTATCTCCTAGCCTTCTCACGGTTTCTCCCTCCTGCGAAGTCTCTGAATTAAAGAGGAAAAAAAATATTCCGTGTTTCCTGATTCCTTTTTTCCTTCACCCGGAGGTTAGGATTCCCAAATTAAATCCAAAATCTTCCCTTTGAAAAGTTGTGTTTTTAAACAATTTGTCCTTATCACGAATCTCTTTCTTAGGAGTTAAACTGGCAGTATTACTTCTGCCTAGTAGAAAATCTAATAAATAACAAATTTCTTCTTTTTTGTCACACTTATGTTACATGTAATAATTAAAAATTCTTTAAATAGTCAAAAAGGTTTAAAAAAATTAAAAAACCCTCAACAAATTTACGACCTGTTGCATTATTTGAACTTCCTTCTTGAAATGCTTTGACAAAGAATTATTTAAAACAACATATTTTTAAAAATTATACAGTGTCTTCAGTTTAGAGAATTCAATATTATTAATCAACCGGGTCCAAAAGTAAGTTAGCTTTATGTTTCTATCCATCAGCCTTCTTCAATGTACTAAAGCATCAGAAGACATTTAAAGCGATTAACCCTTCCTAGATACTTATAAAATCATTCCCTCTCACCAATTCAGCTTCCTTCTACATCATTCTACGACAAGCTTTCATAGTTGTCGAAACAAATTTCTCTGCTCTAGAGAAGAAAGATCTAAACTTAAGTGCTTCCTAACCAACATCTGCTTCAGAGTGAGGTGCGGCAAGGAGTTCTCGGAAATCAGACCGATACAAGTCGGCGTTCCACAAGGGAGCATTCTTGGCCCCCTTGTTTATATCATTTATACTAGACCTACACACCCAAATACCAGCATCACCAGGTGGTACATGGACGATATCGCAATTTTGACCTCCAACTCGAATCCTATCCAAGCTATTGTACTTCCAACATTCAAGTACATCGAAGACGGTGGAAAAAATGCAGGACAAAACTGAATCAAGAAAAACGATGAATTTTATGTTCAAATTGAAAAAACAGTCATGCCCTTACTGTACATCAATTACAAGAGAAACGGATTCCATCCAGATCAAATAGGACTACACTTAGACAGCAGACTGACATGGAATTCCCACACAAGACTAAATGGAAAACAGCTTAAGGTACTTGGACAACTACGAAGTCTTGTAGGACCGAAATCATAAAATTTAATTAACAATTTACCAAAAAAGATTTTTGTCGAGTAGCGTCGAGTTCAGTTGAAGACAAAAGAACCGGACACTCAAAATTTTTATAGTTTATTTCAAACAATGTATATGTGTTTTTGTCGTTATATTAATTACAGCATGCATATTTTAATGTAAATCAAATTAAACGAGATCAAAAATTCACGAGTTTTTATAAAAATTATTTTAATTCATGATACGGTTTTGTTTATAAAATTAATTTATTACACAGTTTTGCTCATAATATCTAATTAACAATTTATTGCACGGTTTTGCTCATAAAATTGAAATAATCATTTATTATACGGATTTGTTCATAAAATTTAACGAACAGTTTATTACATGGTTTTGCTCATAATTCAACTAGCAATTCATGGTACGGTTTTGTTCATAAAATTTAATTAACAATTATTACACGGTTTTGCTCATAAAATTTAACTAACAATTTATTACATGGTTTTGCTCATAAAATTTAATCAACTATTTATTACTTGGTTTTACTCATAAAATTACTCATATTTTTTGTATGTTATTTCAAACTAAAAATGTATATGAATTTTTGTCGTTGTATGAATTACAACATGGTTATTTTAGTGTAAAGCAAATTAAATGGGATCAAAAAATCATTACCGAGGGTTCCCAACAGCAGAGGTCATATCAACCCTCAGGGTGTCGGTGTTTTTGAAAAAAAAGCCCAATTGTAAGTATGTTGGGTTCGAATGCAGGGCTGCTGGATTCGAACTCGAGTCCTTTACCTCACAGTGATGAGCGCCGTGTCAATGCCTTAAAATACAAATAACCAGCAAATTTATTCTGTCCCAGTAGTTAATGTTTGTTTTAAAGAGAGTTTCATTCAAAGGAGGAAGTTTTTCTACCAATTCTTTGTGTTAAATCCACCTGTGTGTTGCATGCTAATTTGGTTAAATGGTCACTGTCAAAATTCAACAAAGATTGGTTTAACCTGTTCATTTGAAATATATCACAAACTCAAAGCGGTACGCCTTGGGTTTCTATTCGACTTGTGTTTCTTTGACTATTAAACAACCAAGATATACATTTTAAAAGATTAGCATTTAAAAGGTAAAAATAGAACACGTTTGTACCCAAGGATTTCCTACAGCCTTGCACTTTGGAATATTACCTAAAAAGTCATTAGATTTCGTGTTCCGATTGACCAAATAACATCTTTCAATTGATTAATCTTTATGTAAAGTACTGGTTGAAAAATGGCAAAAAGGAGGGAAAATTCGAAAGGTTGGGTTGAGGTGGGAAGTTGGTGTCCGAGTGGATCGAAGTCACGATAGATCAAGTGGTTAGAGCAGCGGCGTATTTAGCCGAAGGTTCGAATCCTGCTCGTGACACTGACTTTTTTATCTCAACCAACACCTTACATAAGATTACCTAAAAAGTTACAATAAAATTTTCTTACAAAAAATATAGTTTATAATCAAAATTTAGTAGTTATACGTTCATTTTTGGGTAGACAGTCATCCGTATAACCCAGACAACCTCTGAGCATGTTAGATGTAGATGTAGACGTGGTGTGTATTATACTGAGTTGTTTTGTTGGTGTTTCCTCTGCTTCTTTGTAGATTCTGCACTTGCCGCCTTGGTTTATTCCAATCTTTTTCAGATGTCCATTTAGTCTGCAGTGCCCTCTTAAAAATCTTATTAGGATTTGCAGTTTTTTCTGTTACCTCTTTTCTTCCAAAATTTGTCAGACGGTGGATTGTTTGTGTCCAATGAGTGAGTTCCATTGTTACTTCATTTTCTTTTTATCCTTCTGTAAGAGGTGCTCATTGATAGTGTAGATTGCCATGCCACCGAAGGTCCTATCAGCGGTGTAGTAGCCCCGTTTCTTGCAAGGGCGCCCTGCACCACAGGACACCAATATGTCCTGGCACCCTGCCTATTCTTGTGTTTATGCCCTTTATTCAGATTGAGTTGGGTACATCTCTCGATTGCGTGGACCTAAGCTTAGATGATACTTCCGTCCTCGTACCTTCTTTCGTTCTAGATTCGTCTGTGTGCCCGTAGGTGGTATCATTCTTAAAGGAGGTGTTTTCCCTCTCTTTCTTCTTATTTTTTGGTACTTAAGTATATTTGGAAAATTTTATTAAACTTCAACATCCTGTTCTTGTTGTCATCTCTTGGGGCCATGAAAATCGGATAGTCTTGTATTAGATTTTGCTATCTTTCCATTTTAGTTTTATTATTAGTTTTCTGTGCTGTCCTTAATATCATGTGTGTAGGAGGATTAACCAGTATCTTCTCCATACCAGTTGCGGGACATGCATCGCTCTCGTCCAGTCAGATGCATGCAAGCATGTTTGTGAGTTCTCTTCGTTTTGTTAATTGTTCTACTTTATCGGCCATAAGAATCATGGTGTTCATCCAAAGCAGGGTTTCCAGTCTGCGTTCCAACAAAATTGCAAAGCAGGAGAGAAGCATCCTCGAGCAGAATAGCGCTCCTGAGAACGACTAAAGCTTATAGGACAGCCTCTATTCACGCCCTCCAAGTCCTTGCTTCCTCTGCACCAATAGACATTGTCCTCCACAGTAGAATTGCAATCCGGCAGCTAAGAGATGGAAAGGAGCCAACAATGGTAAATTTGGATGCGTCAGATAGGGAAAGGCTACGAACTGCACCTAGAAAGCAGATCCGGGAGATCCTTTCAGTTTGGATAGACAACTTGTGGCAGGAAAGATGGGACAGAAGCACCAAGGGAAGGTTAACCCACGAGTTTCTACCCACTATTGAGGACCGAGCAAGAGCAAAGTGGTTTCAACCAGATTTCTGGATCACACAAATAATGACAGGTCACGGAAATTTCAACGCTTACTTGCACCGATTCCGTAGAGCACAGTCCACTATGTCCAGACTGCGGAGTTGATGACAGTGTCCAACACAGACTATTCAACTGCCCCCTCCTTGAGAGTGTGAGGGAACCACTAAAGCTCCTCTTCCGCCACACTTGGCCACCGACCCTCAACGATGGTTAAAGAAAAGAGGACGTTTGAGGTCCTCAAGCCTGTTAGCCGAGCTATAGTGGATAAAATACCTGATTAGTTTTTTCTTTCTTTATTTTTTCTTCTTTTTCTTCCTATGATAAGTTACTTGTTAGATCTTAGCGTTTCCCTGAACTTTTAATTCCGGGCTGGTTACTCCTTGTACCCATAATTGTTATTTATTTATTGAAATATTGCATTTATTAGAAAGTGAATTACAGGATTAACCAGCAAGGGGGAGACCTATTAGATTAAATAAATTAATAATAAGAAAAAAAATTTCCCTTCTTCCTTGGGTCTTCCCTTTCAGGGCAAGGTCGAAGGAAGACGTTAAGCACAATAAGATCCCCTAAACTTGCATCCCATTTGAATTAGTTTAATGGCCGTGGTCCGCCCACTAACTACCCCGGTATGGGGTCTCCCTTAGGTACGGCGGGGAGGTGGATGGGGGAAAAAAAAAAAAGTCTGCGTTCCCAAGTTTTTCTGTTATTTTTCTGCACGCCATTAAAAACTCTTGCCGTTTTCTTGACAGTGGAGCCGACATGATCCTTAAATGTATTTTGCCCTGTGTGACGGCTAGATATTTGACCTTTTTCTTAATTTCTGTCACAATGTTGTTAATTTTATCTTCCTCATGTGATCCAATTTTCTTTTCTTTGTAAAAGCGGCTATGGTTGTTTTAGGGTTAATCCTCTAAACAAGCGGTTTTACACCATTTTTAGCTCTTCTTAGATTATCATAGAGGGTTTCTTTGAATTTTCCCTTAGCGATCAGGACTATATCATTTGCT